ACTCTCTCTCACACACACTCTCTCTCTCTCTCTCTCTCTCTCTCTCACACACACACTCTCTCTCACACACACTCTCTCTCTCTCTCTCTCTCTCTCTCTCACACACACACTCTCTCTCACACACACTCTCTCTCTCTCTCTCTCTCTCTCTCTCACACACACACTCTCTCTCACACACACTCTCTCTCTCTCTCTCTCTCTCTCTCTCACACACACACTCTCTCTCACACACACTCTCTCTCTCTCTCTCTCTCTCTCTCTCACACACACACTCTCTCTCACACACACTCTCTCTCTCTCTCTCTCTCTCTCTCTCACACACACACTCTCTCTCACACACACTCTCTCTCTCTCTCTCTCTCTCTCTCTCACACACACACTCTCTCTCACACACACTCTCTCTCTCTCTCTCTCTCTCTCTCTCACACACACACTCTCTCTCACACACACACACACACACACACCATGTAAAACATTCAGTAATAAACACACACCTGCGGTCTGTTCTGTGTCATTGAGCTCGATAACCTCGATGATTTCTTCATCTTCGTAGAGGTTCAGCGAATCTTCCTCAGGATTATCCATCAACAATATATTTATTCACGGAGTTTTGTCATTACAGTCCTGGTAAAGTTTTATCACGAGCACTTTCCGCTCGACCTCGACTGAAAGGCGTTTCTGGGTTCTGACCGTTACTCGCGATATTGTTTTGAACTAAGTCACGGTTCTATAACAACGTGTCGTTAAATGTACTATTTGCTGAATAATAAACCTACTGTAACGCGTTTTATTATGCTCCTGTATTTCACGTGCTCTCCCAGACAGCTCGCGCTGACGTAAGACGTGGAGAACACGGTGACGGACAGCGCGTCAGCCAATCGCGTCCATTGCTTTTCCTCAACGGAAAACTGTTGAAAGGCGGGACTTCCGGCTCCGACTGATCTGCAATAGTGCGGTCTGTGGCACTAGATGGCGCCAGTGAGGCGAACACAAATCACTCATTCACACATTTGACCTGAATGCGAGTTTATTAGTCTGTATGGAAGATTTGTAATGTATTTGTCATGTGAAATTGTAAATATGTAAAGTAAAAATCGACTGTATCTAGTGTCATTATGAATACGGTTTTGTTTTGTTTTTTTCTAAAAGATTACAAATAAAAACAATTACCTTTTGACCAGTGGTGTTTTCACGGTGCTGTTTAGTTTTGGGAATCAGTGTTCAGTATTCAGACGAATGAATGAAGTTTCAGCACATTTGAAGACACATAAAACACATACGGCACATAAATCGGTTGGTTATTCTGAAATGAATCCCCTGTGTGCATCTATGTATCTTATTTGTGAGTTTTGAGATACCTTTCAATTATAACTGCACAATGTTTAAAATGTGTTAAAAAGAAATCCTTTAAAATAATGAATAGCTGGTGACTAAACCCTTCAAGTTCATGAAGAAGAGAAAAGAACAACCTGAACGTTAGGAAGCTTAGACAATGACTGAAGACAGTTTGATCGCTTTGACTCAGGCTTTATGTACAGCCAATTATAGACTAATTAATCTCTGACTAAACGAATTCCTAACAGTTTATGTCAGTCCATCCGTGGATCTTTTTTCTGAGAACTGGTCGAGAAACTCATTCACTCAATCACATTGATGCACGATTAGCGTTAAAATTCATAATACATCAATCCCAACACATGCTTGTTTGCACATAATGTAAGAGAGTCAGAAAAACTGCTTTATGTTTAAGAATACATAATTCAGACATTTCCATTATTTATATGAAACATGAAAAGTGAACAAAAGGTATTAAATTAGACTTCCAGACGTGTTATATAACTTGTGCTCAAAGGTTCATCAAGAGAAGTATAAATCCTCTGTTATTATGGAGCCGTTCTCCTGAACATCACCTGCACCATCTGGACAGTAATCACCTGAGACCATCATTAGTTAATTTACCAAGACAACAGAGAATAAAAGCATTCTTTGATTATTCATGAACATTAATTATTCAAGTACTTCATGGTTTTAAAAGCTATTGCAAAGAGTAGCAACAAACCCCTCAAGTTAAGCTAACCCTTGGTGATAAGCATAAAATAAAGTAATCATAAACTAACGTCTCTGCTAAAGCTCACATGCCTCGATTCCCTTCAGATTTCAAATTCACACTCATTCTTACAAAACAATCACTCATTCAAGTTTGGCATACTACACACTTAACGTGACACTTTCACAAGAAAGTAAACTAATCTAATACATAATTGTTATGATAAACAGGAATCCACTTCTCTCTGCTCAAAGTACAGATGGTTCAGATGAAAGGGTTTGGCTGTTAGGTGGAGCTGGAATCAGTCTATAATCTGGAATCAAATAATAGAACTGAAAATGCTGCATTATTTAATTTGACTGCCATAAAAAGGTTGTGCGGTGACGAGTGGAAATGACAGCTGAAAAAGCTGAACATCCGACTGCCGTCCAAACGTTCTGCTCTGAATCAATTTGCTGAAGAAATGTCACGATGAGTGCTTAGCTAATGTGTTGTTCCATGCAGAAGAGATCATTTAATACAGAAACCAATGGTTAAGAAAAATCATGAAATCAATTTAGTATTTGTCTCTTAGAAGACTGAACTGGGTTGATAGAGGTTAAGAAGATCACACAAATGTTAGCATCTGAAAGAGGGTTCAGCATTTACCATTAGAGACTTCAAAAGGCCTCCAGTTATCGGTATCTAGCAAATAGCTATGGACATGTTTTAGCCCGTGTATGAGTGATGTTTAAAGGCTCTCCGTGACATTCATCTGATTTAGCTGACTGGTTAGATCCATGTAGGACCTACTCCTTCCTCGACTGAGGAGTAAATGCTGTTCTGATCAACTACCACTCCATGTTTATGCTTAAACTGTCTTGAACTACGTAACCCAGGGGTGTCAAACTCAATTCCTGCAGGGCCGGAGCCCTTCAGAGTTTTGCTCCAACCCTGTTCCAACACACATACCATGCAGTTTTCAAATAAGCACTTGACTAGTTGGATCAGGTGTGTTTAATTAGGGTTGAGTCTAAACTGTGCAAGGCTCCGGCCCTCCAGAGTTTGACCCCTGACCTAACCCATGAATTAAATACAAGACAGACTTGAATAAATCAATACAGTACATTCTGAAGAGTGTATCTTTGATGTCATTTCCGGTGTGTGTTCTTGCTTGTGGGAGTGTTAAATGATATTTTGTTACACAAACATCAAAGACGTGTCTAATATTGCTTGAGCGAACCATTACAACTGAGGGACTTCATGAGATCTGCATAGACGAGATCGTTCTTTTGTCCTGATATGTCGAGCGTGCTTGTTTCGTGAAACACACTAATGTCCTACTATACGAGCTTAATCAATGACGGTAGAAAAATGGAGTGCACATGTATTCAGTGGTGGATAATAACTAACATCTACCGATGGAGATTGGGTTGCTCGCCACTTGGACACTTAATTTCTGGCAACATGACTTGACTGCACAGACACTGTTGGAAGAGAACTGAACTGAAGGATGATCACTGAATCAACAATGAACTGACTTTAACTGATAAACGGACTGTTTCTATCGTCCTCTTGCATTACCAGCACACCATCAGTACTCTGTAAAGCTGCTCTGACACAATCAGTATTGTATGAAGCGCTATAGAAATAAAGGTGACTTGACTTGAATAACACTAGAATACCTTTGACTGAATGTTGTTGTAGTTTGATGTCAGAGTCACTTGTTTCGTTAAGAATGAAGACGAAAATCGCTCAAATCTGTCACTCTTATTGCTTTGTTGTTATGCCTTAAATAATCAAATGTCAAGAGAAAGACATAAAAGTCTCGACTTCAATAAAATACACAGGCTGTGTTCCAATAGAAGAGGATGACTGAAAGCATTTTCCTCGTATCTGTAAACATACCTGGCAATAAAGCTGATTCTGATTCTGATTTATGTCCACAGTGATCCCTGATCAAACGAGTTTGTGAATCACAGACACATGAACGACAGCATCAGAGATCCTGTGATTGTCTGTCAAAGCAAGTCATTGAAAATTACACAAAATAGAAAAAAGTTGATAACACAACTACACAAGAATTACAGATGAATAACATTCTATAGTCCAAAATCACTCATCAGCCGTTAACCAAACCACTATTCGCACGCACTCACTTAATACAGACGTCGTCTGACTAATTATTAACAGATAATTCTGCAGCACAAGCTGAAGAAAAGCTTTATTGATCATCGCGATCCGCGTGGCGCGTGGCTGTCCGGAGTGACGTCACCGCGCGTGATGTTCCCGCCTCTCGTTCAGTCCCGCCACACGTGATTCCCGAATCAAAAATCCAGTATGGCGGAATCTGTCAGACGGCGCTTCTGTCGCTTCTGCGCGTTCCGGACGAATTCAGATGTCCGCCGTTGATCCCGCGAGCGTCCCGCGTCTGCCGCGATCAGGTGAGCGAGCGATCAGCGTCACGAGCTCCGCGCGGCGGCGGTTGTTATTCTGCTATTCTTCAGCAGCTTCCGTTAATGATGATCGAACAGATTTACCTTCACATGTGAGAAAACCTCTTCTATGGAGATCAGCTGCGAGTAACGGTTAGCCTGAAACCAGCTTTAACTAGTACTGTGTGATTGTTGTGGTTAAACGAGCGACGTCCAATGATGTGAAGTGGCTCGAGATGGGCGGGTTAAAGACACGAGGCGCCTGCTTTTTGTGAATGAGGTTGAGGGAGGATTGCCGTGACACACACACACACAGATACACCCACTCACACACACACACAGATACACCCACTCACACACACACACAGATACACTCACTCACACACACACACAGATACACTCACTCACACACACACACACAGATACACTCACTCACACACACACACAGATACACTCACTCACACACACACTCACACACACAGATACACTCACTCTCACACACACAGATACACTCACTCACACACACACACACAGATACACTTTGCTGGAACTACATCTGAAGTTTAGAAAACACGTCAACTGCTCCAGACATGACTTCTCAAAGTCATTCCGGTACGTGTCGTTGTGTGTTGTATGATTATGATTTTCTGCTTGTAGGTGTAGTGCGTTTGGTTCTTCTGATGGACATATGCAGTGTGTAATAAGATCTAACAGCTGATGAAGAGACTTCAAGCTGTTGTCATTGAAAAGAATCAAAAGTGGTCAAAGCTTCTTCACTGATGCAAGCAGACGATCTGTGTTTGCGTATGAGTTTCATCTTCTGGCCTGAGCCTCAGTAATCCAGGATGCGTTTAATGATGTAATGGGTTTTTCAATCAATCACGGCACAGCGCACCGGCTATTCACACCGGAGTGATCTCAAGCGCCAGCTACACTACAGAAACATTGTTGTAGTTTTACAGTGATAATAATTAAGCATGTTAGAGTGTGTGTTATGAGTCTCATTGGGTTGGTTGTTATGATTTGTCCAGTACATTCGTTTTAGCGTGATTATGGCCTGCGTTTAGCATTAGCATCCTTTTGGTCTGTGAAGATTTAATGAGCATCTTATGAATTAATTAATAATTTTATGAATTAAATGTCACAATGTTTTCTTGCCAGCATCCAATGTTTGTTTCTCTTTTTTTTTTCTCTCTCTGTTCATAATTTTTCTTTTTCTAAGAATTTTCTACACTACATGTTTAACAGGAATAGCTTTGCTTCTTGACATTTCATTAACATAACAGCTGAAGATCCTGTATAGATGAAGGACATTTAATGAATTGCATAATATTTATAATTTCTATCATACATCATTGAGCGTGTGATGTGGACGAAACCGCCTCGTCCTCCCATCATGCATCAGGGTTCGTCAGACTGTGTCTCTGTGTCGTGATGACAGACTGCGAGCTGATGAAATGCGACAGGCGTAACTGCGGCGCTCTGATTGTCCTGTTTTATGAGTCCCGTTCCTCCTTATCCCTCCTTCTGATCCGTTTCTCATGCTTATATTTATCGGAGCGCTCACTTCAGGACTGAAAGCCTGTTCTGCTCCGCGCTGCAGCAGCTTAACTCGTTGCTATTTATAGATCCGCACAGATTCTGCATGTGTGCCGAACAAACAAATGTGCCGATTGTTTCTGTCCCTGCAGAAGACCGCAGATCCCCCCCAATCCATCCATCTGACTCCCCACCTACAGAACTACAGGTTCTCTGAGGCGGCACCGAACAAATGAAGGCTTCCCAGCGCCTGAGCCTCGTTTTCAGATCACGCATGAAAGCGTGCTGATTTTAATTGCGGTCGGTCCAGACAATCAGGAGACCGAAGCAGGCCTGCGGCGTGAACGGCCAGCCCGGCGAGAGAAGAACAGATACTGGATGTTCTGCCAACATCTGACCGGTCCAATTACAGTCTACACAGAACCGTCACTGCCATCCCACCTTTTGACATTTCAGGCATTTGTCTTTGTCCATTCTGGACACTGATGTGAAGATCCTAATGATGCTGCATCTAATTAAGGTTATGATGTGGTATGTTTCCAGTTTCTCGTTGTGTTTTCATGTCTCTCAATGGCTTCTGGCTGCTCAAGCGTTACCAGAGTACACACGATCATCGGCTGCAACTCGTGCTCTTGTACACGTAATGGTTGTTGTCAAGACTGACACGTCATTCCTGGTATCACTTTTACAAACCGGTTTAAGATGCCGCATCGATTATTATTATTAGTGAGGCAACCAATACTTTAAATTCACGCAAACATTTTCATACATTTTATTGGTGCTGTTGTTCCACCGTGTTACTTTAGAAAAACGTCAATCTCAGTGCCAATATATTTCATAAGATTTGTTGTCTATATTGTGATTTTTGTAGTGTTGATTGATATTTTTGAGGAGGCTCTGCTGTGTATAATGTTGTGTGCTGATGCACAGGATCGTATTGTTAAAGCTGCTGGACGTTCTGTTACTTATCCTTTTTGTGGGGCAGGAAAGGCTCGTTAAGGTGCGTCTGATTATTAGTTGACTAGAAAACCGCCCCCTTTGACAGAAAGTGAACAGCACAGATGCTAAATCAGGATCTGACCCAGATCAGTGAGGATGTTCTCATATATCACCACCATTAATGTCACTGCCGTGTGTTTTTCCAGGATCTTTTTAATGCTGTCATGTATAACCAAAGCAGCATATATAACACAAACAGTTTCTTCTCGTTTCGTTATTTTCAAGAGCAAAATCTGCGTATGGTGTCTCTCTGTGAGTGTGCATTAATATAGCAAAACATTTTCGAAGTGAAATGGCCTCTAAAATGTTACAGTAAGTGAGTTGTGTTCATAAGTGGCATGAGAGGTTTTGTTCTTGTGACTAGCATCTCTGTGTGTGCTGTTAGGGTTAACGTTAGCTTAATGAGTTCTTTAGCCTTTTTTATTGTAGATCTCTGGTCTCTAGTCTATAAGCTAGTCTTAAACGTAAACTCTAACAGAGAACAGTCTAATGGTTTGTTTGCCATAGAAAATGTCTTAAGTGTCGAAGAGACCGTCGTCAGCGTTCGTGAGCTCTGTGTTTCTTTAAGTCATATCAACGACTATTTTTATTACAATTAATCTATCAACTAATTTATCGATTAGTCTAAACTAGGCCTGTCACGATAACAACTTTTTGTTGTGCGATATATTGCCCCAGAAGTAATTGCGATAAGTGATATTATTGTCATTTTAAAGACTATTTTATGCCACTGAATATATAATCATAATGTAACAGCATAATAATGCAAGAAGGCCTACACACTTCCAAATGACAACAAACTTTTAATTTTTAAGAATATTTAGATCATGGAAATTAAGTATCAAAATATTAGATACGCACCACGTTATGTAGGAGAAGCTGCAAAAGACACAGGCGCAAGTGGAATGCAATAAACACAGTGACATTAATTTTTAAGTAAATATAATGGGCGATATATTGCGTCACC